GAAGGAAGGAAGGAAGGAAGGAAGGAAGGAAGGAAGGAAGGAAGGAAAAGAAAAAAGATGCAAGAGCCAGATGATGCCCTTCCCTCTCCCTCCCCCTTCACCCCTCCCTCTTCCTGTCTCTTTCCCTACAGTACTAATCTTACTTATCTGCCCAGAGGTGGCGTCTGCTTTACTGCCTTACCCATGGAATTTAAATCAGTTCACAAAGTCAGGGTGTGGTGGTGGTGCACCTCTCCCAGCACAGGAGAACAGTGCACACAGGAAGCTGAAAGACCTAGAAGTGAACCAGGTCCCACAGAACGGGGCTTGTCACATAACAAACCTTCAATAAAACACTTGTCGGTTGAGTGAGTGACAGAATGGTCCTGTGAGAGTCAAGGTTGTGAAACAGTTCAGTGAAGAGATTTAGAGGATATATCTTGGGAGCTGGGGTCACTCTGAGTGCCTTGGGAACCTTTGAAGACAGTGGGCTTACAGGACGCTACTAGCTAATTAGCACTGGGCTCAGGAAACACCCCAAAGTTGGAGTGAAATCTGTGCTGTAGGGTCTAGCTCCTGTTGTCAGCTCACCAAAGACCACAAGAACTGTATAAGGAGTCTATGGAGGGCCAGAGGAAGAGAGTCCTGGAGTTCTGAGGTGATCTCTCTGCAGAGCAGATCCTCCAGCCAGAAGCCTCCTCCCTCCTGGACACTTTTGAGGCTCTAGACTGTTGACCAGGGGGATCATGCTAAACTTTTTTTTAATCTCTCCCACTCCTGAGTGTGTGCATGTATGCTTGGCACACATATGGTGACTCACAGCCATCCATAACTCCAGTTCCGGGGGATCCAAGATCTTCTGGCCTCCAAATCATCACATGAGTTCGGTGCACAGCCATACATGCACACAAAATGATGAAATTAAATTAAACCATAAATAAGATTAAAAGTAAAGCTAGGAATGGAGGAATAGAGAACTGGCTCAATGGTTTAGAGTGTGCACTACCTCTTCCAGAACCCCACACTGTTGGTTCATGATGACAGTAACACACGCTTGCACACGTGTGTACATATATGTTCATACGTGTGTATGTGTGCACACACACAGACACACAGACACCACATGAATTATTTTTAAGGAAGGGAAGCTGCTGCTTCCCCGGCAGGCTCTCATCCCTGGGTGATAAGTAGGAACTGTGCAGATGACCTGAGTTGTGCTTTTTTTCCAAAGCGCTTCAGAGAGGCAAAATCCTGGGACTTCAGGTGAAATATAGCCACAGTCCACTCACTTGACAGAAGTGCTGGCAGAGGAAGTAGACCTGAGCCAGGTGGGGATGGAGCTCTCTGAAGACACCTACTATGTGCCAGGCACTTGAGATACAAAAGTGAAGTCCACAGATTCAGTTCCTGACTCCCAGGAACTTAATGGTTCCCAGCTGCTTACATGAATAACTGTTCAGTTACAGTCTACAAAGTGCAATGAAGAAAGCATGGCTCTCAGCGCTCACAGGTCCGACATGAACATGCGAATCCCCCTTTCAGCAAGTCTCTTCAGCAGCCTGTATCATTTACTGACTTGCTGAGGAGAAAATGAATACAGGACACGGCTGATAGATAGTCCCGAGACTCGGGGCCCACTCCTTTCTCCATCCTAACAAAGGGAACTTGGCAAATCCCCAGGGCTGTCCTAGGGCCTCAAATGGAGACCAAAGAACCAGACTAAGAGGGAGCAGACCAAACTAGGAACAGGGGATGCATGTGCAAATACCCAGGGATAGGATGGGGAGCAACACACAAGGAGAGAGGTTTGCACAGATGGACCAGACCACCATGTCATGCCAACACTATCCATGTAAAAGCCATGAGAAAGTATTTTTTTAAGAATTATTTACTTTATGTATGAGTACACTGTAGCTGTCTTCAGACACAGCAGAAGAGGGCATCAGATCTCATTACAGATGGTTGTGAGCCACCATGTGGTTGCTGGGAACTGAACTCAGGACCTCTGGAAGAGCAGTCAGTGCTCTTAACCTCTGAGCCAATCCTCCAGCCCCCGAGAAAGTATTTGAAAATTCATTGGGGCCTGGATGGTGGCTCCCACCTGTAATCGCCCACCCAAGTACAAACCACACTGTACCTTCTGCAATCACATGAATCTAGGGTCCTGTGGCCACGGACATTCCTGTAATCTCAGCACTCTGAAGGCAGAGGCAGGAAGATCATTGCAAGGAGGACAAGCTGGCCTTCACAGAAGCGGTTCACACCAACCATAATTACATGACAAGAGCCTGTTTTCAAAAAAACAAAACCAAATAAACTTAGCAGTAAAGTTTAAGGGCCAAAGAAATACTTCCCTGATTAAAAGCATTGGTTACTATTTCAAAGGGTCTGGGTTCGAGTCTATGACTCCAGTTCCAGAAAATTGGCCCTCTTTGGTATCTGCAGGTAAAACATGCAAGCAAACCATAATGTAAAATTAAAAAAAAAAGTAAAGATTTTATTTTATTTAATGTTTTTTCTTTTTTTGTTTTTGTTTTTTGTTTTTTTTTTTTTCCTTCGAGACAGGGTTTCTCTGTGTAGCCCTGGCTGTCCTGGAACTCACTCTGTAGATCAGGCTGGCCTCGAACTCAGAAATCTTCCTATCTCTGCCTCCCAAGTGCTGGGATTAAAGGTGTGCGCCACCACCGCCCGGCGTAAAGATTTTAAAAATAAAATTAAAACGTTTTAAAATGAAAATTTAAACTTTTAAAAACAAAATCACAACTTTTTACAAATTAAAGTTTAAAATTTAAATTTACAAAAGAACAAGGTAGGGGTGGTGGCTGGAGAGATGACTCAGCATTACTGGCTGCTCTTCCAGAAGACCCGGGTTCGATTCCCGGCACCCATTTGGCAGCTTACAACTGTCTATCACTCCAGTTCCAAGGTGTCTGACACTTTCACACAGACATACATGGAGAGAAAACACCAGTGCAATTAATATAAATCGTTTTTTTTTTTAAAGAAATTCTAACATTTGTCTTTTACACTAGGATTTAAACTTAGAGCCTCATACCTGCAAATGCTTGACCACCGCTCGGCTGTGATTCCAGCTCCCTGTTTGTTTTGTTTTTGTTTTCTTTTCAGGCATGGTCTCATTACGTTAAGTCAGTTGTGCCTTAGCCCTCTGAGTAGCTGGGATTACCAGGCCCGGCCTGGATATGTATTTTCATTTTATTTATTTTAAATTATTTATATATTTAGTTGATTGATTGGTTGGTTGGTTTCGTTTTGTTTGTTTGTTTGTTTGTTTTTTCGAGACAGGGTTTCTCTGTGTAGTCCTGTCTGTCTTGGAACTCCCTATGTAGACCAGGCTGGCCCGAAATCAAAGATCCACCTACCTCTGCCTCCCCAGTGCTGGGGTTAAAGGAATGCGCCGCTGCTGCCGCTGACACTGCGGCCACCCGGACCGAGAAGTATTTTAAATGTCCTCTGAAGGTCGCTCAGGAAAAAAAGGAGAGGTCAGGTATACCTGATGTACTGCGATTGCACGGAAAACCAGGGAGCCTGGTGAGTTCCAGACTGATAAAGAGAAAAGGATAGAGCAGGTAGCACGTTAGACCTTGCAGGTTGGATCAGGAGCCCTGGAGCGGCTGCGCCTGGGCGATCCAGTCCCAACCGGAGCTCGTGCGCAAGGGTGCCGGGCTGAGGGTAGCTGGGTCTCCGACCACGCCTCTCAGATCAGAACTGGTCCAGGAGGGGCGGAGCCCGAGATGGGCGGGGCAGGAGGGCAGCCCCCCGCCACGCTGCAGTTGCAGGGACATTCCTGGCTCTTCGGCCCGGGGCGGAGGATCTCCCGGCGGCTGAGTGTGCCAGCCCTGCCGGGATCGTGACCCGCGCGCGCGGGAACCGGGCGGCGGAGGAGCCAGGTGAGCCGGGCCCCTGCACCGGGAGCCGAACCCTCTAGCTCTGGGCGAGCCGGGCCACACACGGTGAGGACAGCGGCCGTGGAGCTCCGGAGCTGCCCCCTCAGCCCCGGGGACCTTGGCGCCCGCGCGGCGGGAGTGGTTGGGTGGAGGGGGCGGTAAATCAGTAACCCGCAGCGCACACAGAGCCTTTTGTCCCCCTCCGTTCAAAGAGCACCCTGGTCACCGCTCTGGTTACTTATTGCCCACCGGGGCGGGGGCGATGGGCCAGATGTCTATGCAACTCCGCACGGGGACCTCTGACGAGCACTTTCCTCCGAGGGCGACGAGGTTGGGGCACTAAAAGTAAGAGCACTGTCGCCCTTGGGCGGGTGACAGACTCGCTCTGGCCAAAAAGATGAGGAAACTAACGCTCGCAGTCACTTGCACAGAGCACCTTATCGCGTGAGTGCAGGAGGGTGAACAACTCAGCGCTCTCTGATGACAGTCCCTAGTGCTAGCGATCCTCAGCGGCCAGCCGAGGTGACCAGACTAAGATTCTGTGATTGAGAGTTCAGGGCAGCCTGGGAGTGGGAATAAAACCTCCCCGGACCTGTCCGCCCAATCCAAGCTGGAGACGGAAGATCGGCCCTCTCTGCTTAGCAGGGTGTGGTAGGAGTCTTTTGCAGACAGGCTGACCAAACTAAGGGTAGGAGACAGGTCAAGGTTTTAAGACCACAGCTAAGCCGGTGGACAAGAGGAACGAGGGACACAGAGGTACAGGCAAGGAAACAAACATGCTGGCTTTTAGAATTTACTGAGGGGACAGAGTGGAACTAACAAGGTTGACACTGGCGTTTAAAATGAAGCCTAGAAAAGTTGGGCCTGGCACATGGGCCTTAATGGGAGCTAGCCAGGCTGAGGCAGGAGGCTCACAATTTGAAGACCTGCTTGGTTTACAGAGTGAGTTTCAATGCCAGTCTGCCTGGTCAACTTTAGTGGGAAATTATCTCAAAATAATTAAAAGAAAGAAAAAAGGCGATCTGCAGTTAACCCTTAGGGGCTTGTAAACTGGATAACGGGGGGGGGGGGGGGAAAAATTTGAAAAAACCAAACACTACTGGACGGTGAAGAACTAAGATTTGCCAAGATACCTACTAAATAAAGCAGGGGAGCTGAGAGACATGGAGGAGGTCAGTGGACTGAAGGCCTCAGTCTTCCTCAGATAGGCCTGAGTCTTCCTCAGCAGTGGGCTGAGAAGAACGGGTATAATGGGCTCCCTGGACAGGGTTCCCAGTTTGGTAAAGTCTGGAATGCATCTTCTAAGAGTCATGCCGTTTTCTTCGGCTGTACACTTACTAAAGTTGCCCTGATATGGAGATTAGCATGGCCCCTGTGCAAAGACACTGATCCAAAGATGCTGGTGATAGCTGGTTATCATCCAGGGCTAGGTAACAGCCTGTTCATCTCAGGGACTCCACTGACTCCCTGGTCAAGTTAAGGCTTCGGCCTGAATCTTCTCTTTGGGAAACAGATACCCCACTATAGCATTTGGGCAGGTGTGTGTATCAGACTTAACAGCACCATTTCAGAAGTGGAGACTGATTAAGGTCAAAGGGTACCAGAGCACACTCAGTAAGGGGACGGGGAGAGCATCTCACTAATGCTCTGTGTGAGCCTCCATGTATGGCCTCTTTTTTTATCCCTGAAGCAACCCCATGATGATAACGGTTCAGAAAAGGACAAAGGCAGGTCTTGGCAGGAATCAGGATTTGAATTTGTCACTACCAGACATGTAAAATCTGTGTCAATTACAAAGCCAGCTGGACACTAAGCTCAGTGGCAGGGGGTTTGCTTAGCATGCGAGGAGGTCTTGGGTTCAATCCACAACTCTAAATAACAATAAACAAAGCCAAACAAGCTCCTACATTGTCTGAGATGAAGCCATGGGGGTGCAAACCACCGGAAGTGTCCTTGGGGTGCGTTCCTGGCTCGGAACGAGGAAGAATGTCCTTGATTTGGATTGAGCCTCCTTAGAGCACCCACTTGGAAGTGTCAGTAATGCTAGAGTGAGGTCCCGTGAGATGGCATCCAGATGCTGAAGGCCGGCCTCGTATTAGGTTTCCCTTTTCTTCTTTGAGTCTTCAGCAATGAATTCATTTATTCAGCAGAAAATAAATGATGTGTGCGGGGTGAGCAAAGGATAAGTCACCATCTCTGCTTCCTTCCAAGAAAAGAATTCTGAGACTGCTCTCTCTGTGAAGGCATGCCAGGTCGCAGTAGGACCCAAGACAGCAGGAAGTCCGCACACGCCCTGCAGAACCTCCTTTGGGGGAGGCTGGGGCTCTGCAGAACAGTGCTGGCTCCAGCCTCTGCCCCACTGCTGCCTTGTGGGGTTTGGATGGGCTTGCTGACTGCTTCCTGTCTCTGGGTCTTCATCTGCAAAACAAAGAATGGGACCAGCAAATGACTGGAGCTCTTCCCACCCCCCCCCCACCCCCTGTTTTAGGAAGGTGGTCAGTGGGAAGTCTGGCCTGGGTCCTGAGAACAGCTGGGAAGAAATGTGGCTGCTGTTGGCCTTATTGAGCATCTTTCAAGGGACACCAACCTTGTCCCTTGAGGCCTCTGAGGAAATGGAGCAGGGTATGGCTTCTAAGGTGGGAGAGGGTGGCAGGGATGTCAGGGACAGGCACCAAAAAGGGGCTTCTGGCTGAACAAAGCTGGAGAGGGGCCTGGCCCTGCCCCCAAGAAGGAGGCAGCAGGGCGGGGCATTTCGATTCACTGTCTCGCTCCCAGCAAGCACACTCCTATCTGTATGTCTACAAGAGAGGATTAGCCTTACAGGGCACAGAACCTGGGCTAAGCTGCAGAGTCAGCGGTGAGCCCCCTTGGCTGTATGTGTATGTGTGTGGTTCTATGCACTGGGTGTGTTGGTTGGGAGGTGCAAACAGCATGTGTGATGTATGAACCAAGTAGAGTGTGGCTCAGAGGTGTGGCATGTGTCCTGTATGTGACACATGTAGCATGTGCCTTGTGTGTGTATGTGTGCGTATCTTGGGTAGTAGCATGTCTAGCATGTGTGCCAAGTCTGTGTGTATGTGTGTGACAACTCCCAGAAAAAGTGTGGCATTGGCCCTGTGCAAAGCATCTGTAGCATGTGGTTATGTGTGTGGGAACAGCATGTATCACAGGATCCTTGTGTCTCGTGTGTATAGCATGTTCTCTGTATGCAGGGTATGGGGCTAGCCTCTGATGGAGCCATGGGTATCAATGACTTCTGCCGTCTGCCCTCAGAGCCCTGCCTAGCCCCAGTCCTGGAGCAGCAAGAGCAGGTGTTGATGGTGGCCCTGGGGCAGCCTGTGCGGCTGTGCTGTGGGCGTACTGAACGTGGTCGTCATTGGTACAAGGAGGGCAGCCGCCTGGCATCTGCTGGGCGAGTACGGGGTTGGAGAGGCCGCCTGGAGATTGCCAGCTTCCTTCCTGAGGATGCTGGCCGATACCTCTGCCTGGCACGCGGCTCAATGACCGTCGTACACAATCTTACTTTGCTTGTCGATGGTAAGAGGATCTGGCAGGGGGTTAAGGGTCCCTTGGGAGAGAAACCCCTCTTCTCTTGGATTTCAGATGTCTTCCTTTGTCCCTGAATAGATTCCTTAACCTCCATTAGTAATGATGAGGACCCCAAGACATTCAGCAGCTCCTCGAGTGGGCGTGTCTACCCACAGCAAGGTTGGTGCCTCCTCCCAAGGACTCTTCTCCACCACCTATCTGGTCACTGAGGAAAGACTTGTGTGCGAGCCAAGGTCACCTTAGGGTCCTAATTACTCTTTCTTTTCCCTCTAGCACCCTACTGGACACACCCCCAACGCATGGAGAAGAAACTGCATGCAGTGCCTGC